GCCTAAGTGCCCTGAGGCTTAAGTTGAAAAAAATGGGACCCTTGGTGTTTAGTTCCTAGGTACTAAGATTCTGAGTATGCATAGGGGTACGGAAGAGGAGGACCCCCCGCTTTCCTGGCCAATTGTCCATTGATACTTTTGTTTCTGTTTAAGTGGACCAAGTAGTGTGTGTAGCTTAGTTCTCAGCAATTACTGCTCCCTGGCTTCCTGTCATCCGGGCTCAGTCGGGGAAGGATGTAAATGGTACTTTCCTGGCTCTGGAGCTGGATTCGTGACTGTCAGCCCCCAAGCATGCAGTTATTGCTGTTGCGGTTCGGTTAGGACTCATCGCTCAGGGTAGTATTCAGTCGGGAAGAAAACGCTTCTCCTTGGGGAACCCAGTAGAGCCGTTCTCAGTAGTCCTGGCTACCGAAATCCCTTGTTTAAATCTGGGGGAGGCTGCAGGGACTAACCCAGTTGCCCTGCTGTTGCGGTGGGACTGTTAATGGTGTGAATCGGGGTCGCACCTCACAGCTGGCACCTGTGGAGCTGTCTCCGCTACGTCCTTGTCATGTTAATGACACCCACATGGTCATAACCTGATGGATGGGCAGGGTCATAACGGCCAGACGGGGTCAGACCAAGGTCCATCTAGCCCAGTGTTCTGCCTTCTGACATTGGCCAATGCCAGGTGCCCCAGAGGGATGGAACACAACAGGGAATCATCACGTGATTCCTCCCCGGTCACACATTTTCAGACAAACAGAGGCTAGGGGCACCATTTCCCTAATAGCCGTTGATGGACTTAAGCTCCATTCATTTATCTAGTTCTTTTTTGAACTCGGTTAAAGTCCTGGCCTTCACAACATCCTCTGGCAAGGAGTTCCACAGGTTGACTGTGAGTTACGTGAAGATGGTCCAGAAGGTGCCGTGTGTCTGACCCTACCATGGCTCCTCTCAGTGGACTCCAGGCCTATGAGTCTGGTACCTTCGCTTTGCAAAGCTGAAGTCTATAGCGAGGTGGGCTGCAGACTGTGGCAAATCCAGAAACTGAATGGCTGGAAGGAGATGAACTTTATAACGACTAAGGCCATTTGAATATCCCTGTAGATCTTCTCGCTGGGTTACTGCCCCACCGGTGAGTGGCTCGCGGTGGGCATGGAGAGCAGCAACGTCGAGGTGTTGCACCACACCAAACCAGACAAATACCAGCTTCACCTACACGAGAGCTGCGTCCTTTCACTGAAATTTGCCTACTGTGGTAAGTTACCACTGGGTTAGTTGGGAGCTCTGGCCCCATGGACTTCAGCGGGTAATCCTAGAGCACTAGAACTGGAAGGGACCTCGAGAGGTCATCGAGTCCAGTCCCCTGCCCTCACGGCAGGACCCAGCACTGTCTAGACCCGGGGGGGGCAATAATTTTTAATGGGGGCCACTCCAAGATTTTGGTAAGTGGGCAAGGGCCGCTCTTCTCTGGAGGGGGCGAGGGGTGCAGAAGGGAGCTTGGCATAGAGGACTGGGGTGCAGCAGGGGCTGGGGGGTCTGAGAGGGAGTTCGGGTGAAGGAGGGGTTATGATGTGAGCAGAGGCTTGGGGTCCAGGAGGGGTTCTGGGTGCAGGAGAGGATCCTGGCCTGAGGGAGGAGTGCAGGAAGGGCGGCAGGGTCCGGGAGGGAGTTGTGACCTGGAGGAGGTGGGGAGAGGGGATACAGAGGGTGGTGACCTGGGGTAGGTCTTTCCTGCTCTCTAACCCTACGCTGGTGCATCTCTAGACAGCAAACACACAGAAGCGCGAGTCTCCGCCGGGCTACACCGGACCACTCCACTGGTGGCTATCGTTGGGGGGTGTCTGCTCGGCTCCGAAAGGGAGGGAGCAGCGAACCACCTTCCCCCGAGCGTGCATTGATTTCCCTGTCCCTGCGCCTCGCCCCCTCCAGAGCCGGCCGAGGCTTGGCGCAGAGATGCCCCGGCCTGGGATAATGTTCCCATTGTGAAAAGAAGTTTCAGCTTTTGTGTCTGGCCTGCCCCGTGCGGGGGAGCTGACGCCTTGCTTTGTGTGTTTAGGGAAATGGTTTGTGAGTACAGGGAAGGATAATCTCCTCAACGCCTGGAGAACGCCCTACGGAGCCAGCATCTTCCAGGTAAGAGCCGTTCGGGCGTGGGCCTTGCCGCCTCCTGCCCCTCTTGTATCTGCAGCCAGCTGGATGCTGCACGTCGGCAGCCCAAAAAGCTGGGTGGGAGAGAACTCCGGCCTCTGAGCCAGGGGCTAATACCGTTGTACCTTGTGTGCCGTGCAAGGGACGGACACTAGAAGCTGCCACGTCCCACCCCGGCGTGGGGATGTCTGCCAGCGGTGGCCTCCGTGAGAGGAGACCCCGCTGGCTCCAAATGAATGCGAGGCAATGGACGCGAGCGCGGCTGGCTGTAAGGGACTTGGCAGCAAAGTGTGTTTCGGGGCATCCCAACTTCCAATCCATCGCTGTTTTGCATGGGAAGAACAGTGACCGTCTCCACACAAAGGCGCTTTTCTGCTTAGGTCAGATGCGGTTGGAAGTGGGAGATCTAGCATATGAACGGAGTTTTGTTTGTTTTTTTTCTTCCCCCTTTTTCCAGTCCAAAGAATCCTCCTCTGTCTTAAGCTGTGACATTTCAGCAGATGACAAATACATTGTAACAGGCTCTGGCGACAAGAAGGCCACAGTCTATGAGGTCATCTATTAAACAAGGGTTTGACCGGGGGCTGTCAACTCTGAATATTCGGCTCTGGGCTGACAAGACAATGGCAGATTTCTGAAGGATGTAGGAAAATGAAAGGAGAGCAGCCATGCATTGAGAGCGTGTTTCCTGCCAGGCTGCATAACATGGATCTTCATGGACTCAGAGACATGTACATGGACTGATGCGTTTCAGCAGTTTGTATTTCTAAGCCCTGGCATCTCTGGATTTATTTGGCGGTCTGCAAATATGGAACACAGTCCAGCCCTAAACAAGTTTTGGTTTGGTTTTAGGGTGGTTGTTCTTTTGTCTGCGCTTTGGTGGCACTATAAAGGACTTATTTTTTATCGTGACTTTTTTTTGGGGGCGCTCTACATAAGACTTGTGAAAAATGTAAATAATGGACTAGTAAATAGAATGGAAAGGGTAAGATTATGCCTCCTGGTACACTAGCTGTGTATTTTTCTTTTTAATTTTTATTTTTTTTGTCTGCTGTAATTGTAATTCCACTGATGGGTTTGGTGGTGGCAATTTTCCCCCCCCTCCCCTCCCAAGTATCAACTTGAGATGCTACTTTGGCCTGCAGCTTCTAACCAGTTTGAGCAGAGCTGTCCGCTGGTGAAAGTTGTTCCTACTGTTGTACATGTGAATTGTTCCGTGTGTAGTCAAATGTTTGAACACTGTATGGACTGAAGTTACATTGGTCAGATCTTCAGCTACTGAGGGGACGTCAGCAAAACAATCAACTTTTGTTTTATGGATTTTTTTTTTTTTTTTTTTTGTGCTCATGTTTGAAGAAAACAGGAAGTCCATGTTCTACGAAACTTCTGCTCAATCCCTTCTTGATCTTCGGACATACACGATGAGGAATAATATTTCAAAGAAAGCGTAGTAAAATTCAGCTCAGGGAGCCATGAACGATAAGTTGCTATTATGTATTTTGTATTCACATGAAAGTAAAGAATTAGAATTGATAACCTTTTAAAATACAATTTTTTTTTTTTTTTAAAGTTTACTAACAAGTAGGGTTTGTGTGTCTCTGGTAGGGGTCTGTGGCTTTATGGTCTTGGTCACTTTTGGTATATTGGTTCCAGCGAATCAAAACCCATCTGCCCCTTTCCCCTCCTCCCCCCAGAGGCTGGTGGTCTGATAAAATTTTGTACTAAACGGTTAAATAAATGGGAAATAAAAGTATTTGTGTAGCAGAAATGCTCACCCCTGTATTGTAGCATATGGCAGAGAATTTTTATACTGCATTTTTATGGCTTATTTTTTAATGTGTTGATTTTTAATCTGGTCAAAAATAAGTCGGGTTACGGTGAAAACTACCTGTTTGAAAGCAAGAGGACAAAAGGAGAAACAGACCATGAAGTTGGAGATGTTCTTTAACTTTCCCTTCTTGGATGTACATTCAGCAGCATGTCTTACTGCGAGTCGTCAACAGCACCCTCCAGCTTATTGGTTTGGGGTAGGGAAGGACGTAGGAGTTGAGTGGAAAGAAACGTCAGAGGAATTTTTTCCCCAAAGGCCCACATTTTAAGATTGGACTCCACACACCCCTCCATTTTGATTTGTTATGCACTAGTGGTCACAAAAAGCTCTTAAGTACAAAAGCCTCTCTTTAAAAAGAGAATGGATTTTTTTTTGACATTAGAAAAACGACCGTGTCGAGATGGCACCGGCTTCAGTGGCTTTGATTTCTGTGATACTCAGATTTGCTTGTTTTTAACAACTGCGCATTTGGACTCTTTCTGTTCACTGTTTTGTTCGTGGTGTGATAACGGAAAGTGACGGATTCTCTTAGGGCCTGTTCATCTGTGGAATGGTTTTGGTATGTTCCAGTTTGCTGCATCGTTATGACTAGTGATAATGTGAGAATGCTAAAGAACCAGCTTGACTCTCAGGCTCGGTCCAGACTGCATTGCTTTTTTGGGATATCAGAGGTATCCCGAAAAAGGAACGCCACATCCAAGGAACGTATCCACTTTTTCGGGGGGGGAAAAAAAAATCTACGAGGAAAAGGGGTGTGTCGATAGAGCACTTTCTTTCGAAATTTGGTGCCGTGTAGAAGCGCTACATTTTGAAAGAGCTTCTTTCGAAAGTGAATCAGAACAAGATATGCAATTTGCGTAACTTTTTCCGATTTAACGTTGCAGTGTAGACCTGGCCTCCGATCCCTATGTGAATTAATCCATTGGGAATCCATGAACATACAACCAGAGAATGCCATGTGTAGAGTCACTTGTCAGCGTACAAGCCACACGTCACAACTAACTTGGAATGTGTTGGAAAGGGTTAGAGGGTTTTGAACTTGGCTGCAAAAGTCCCCCTTTAATAACACCACAAGCTAATGTCCCAAAATGGTTATGCTTGCAAGCTGGTGCTTTTAAAACAACAATTAAAAAAAAGTTAACTGGGCATAGCTCAGTAAGCGGAGGGTTTCCTAAGTCATACTGTCTCAACTTTACACCAAAGTATGTAGCAGAATATGTACAGCTGTTAATACCTACAACTGTTTTTATAAAAAAAGAAAGAAAGAAAAAAAGGCAAAGAGAGAGAATAAAAATTAAATGTACTGAAGCTCAAATGAAAACAAAGTGTCTATAAACCATTTGCTCTCTGAAAAAACCTGCACTGAGTTATTAATAAAAACAAACAAACAAAATGGCCGGCGTTGTTCTTGCGGGTGGAGGGGTGAATCCCGAAGGTCAGGATCCCCGTTTCCCCCTGCTGCTGAGGTGGGGCCTACTCCAGAGCTTCTCAACGGCCTGTCGGTTTCTGCACGGACGAGGCAGAGCGTTGGCTCAGCCCCGTCGTGCTGGTGGACAGGCTGCGTTGTTTTGGCTTTGGTCCTGAGCTCAGGAGCTAGGAAGCGGAGATCAAAGGACCAAACCCCCGGCCAGCTTCTGATGAGACGCGTCGTCTGTACGGCGGCACTTGCTCCTTGTTCTGGTTTTGATGCTGGAGCCTTTTCGCCACTGGACAGAGTAGCAGTTTAGAGCCCGGGACTTTGATGTTCCTCGTCTCCTCTTTCTCCCCCTGGCCAGTGACAGGTGGGTGGGTGTGTGTGACAATTCAGAGTTACGATATGCAAATGGCGGCTGAAGTCAGCTGTGAAAAACAACCCAGCAGCAGAATATATTAGAGCTGCTAAATTAGATGCCAACGTCCCTTTGCCAGCGTTTTTACTTTTTCCTTTTCCTGTGACAGATGTTTCTGATTCCAAACATATGTCATGAGAACACTCTAGCCAGGCCTCGGAGCTGGCTGTGTGCTGTAATCCAATAGATTTTGTGATGGGATTTCCTTCTCCACGCCACATGATTGTTTTTTCCCAATTCAGTCGTCTTTGGGAAAACGTCTGGTCTGTACAGACCTGGAGGAAAAGCCTAAAGGAGCGACCTGGGAAGATAATCACAGCTGCTAGCATTGGAGAGAAGAAGGCTAATGTTGGCAGTAGGATGGTATCTGCCTCAGGAGACCAACTGGGAATTGGCTACCTACTAGAATTTGCCCTTAATTAAAGGTTGAACAAAACGTATGCAGGAAATTTAGTTCCTTCAAAATTTTTGGTGCAACTTTCTCCTTAGATCCGTCTTGACCCTCTCTTGTACTGATCTACTCCGAGATGATTGATTTCTTTGCATACATCCTATAGCTGTGGAACTAAGTTGGTCATTTTTTAACTTCGGTTGGTTCTGCAGCGGTGTTCCCTGTATGCTGAAAGATTGAGCGGCCATCCAGGAGCAAGTCAAATGCTGCCCAGCTGATCAGCAGAGCACCCACAGCTGGCAGGATGTGTGTCTATGGGTGGTGCACATTTGCACATGCCTCAGCGCACAGAACAAAACTTATTCTGCATGCGGATGGAACAAATTAGAGGGGATGTTGTTCTGCAGCCTGGCAAATGGACACCATGCTGCCCTTTTGACACCTGAAAAATAACCGGCTGCATCTGCCGGGTGACAAGCAACACTGCTCTTTCTGTTGACAAATAGAGTAATGCAACACCCAGTGCCATCCGCAGTGAAGGAGAACTCTTCGGGTTCTGTAGGCGTGCAACCAAATTCTTTGTAGTTTTTTTTTTTTTTTTTTTTTCAGGGGGTGGGGATAAATCGGTCTCTTCTGTGGAGATTATTCGATGCAAATGTCTAGTGTCCCATTGCTTTCAGAACAGGCGACCCCTGGCAGAGAGAAAGCACTTTCCTTGAACTAGGACATATGTACCATCCTACAGGGGTTTCCCCAGTGATGTATTGAACATGACAGAGCCTGCTGGGAGGCAGAAATAAAAAGCCGGAGCAGCACTCTTAAGTGCTTGGGTTGCCAATAATGTACAGCAGTAAATGGTTATGAGTGCATTTAAATCTGATTTTCAGCTGAATGGAATGAGGCCCTTACACATGGGGCCATTAAAAGATGAAAAAAGAAATCACAAATCCTTTGTTGTAAACTTTGGAAGATTTTAACGTACCGATATAAAAATGTATTTGTACTAGGCCAGCGAGTCGGGACCAAGCCTACGTTGTACTGTTGATGATGTGACATGCATATTGTGATGTTTTCCTTTCAGCAACTTCCAGCAATCTGTTGGCCTTTATAATTAATCTGGCTTGACGTTAACCTTTCAAAAAGCACTGACGGGAGAAGGTGGTAAATTTTTGAATGAGCTAATTCTACTTTTCCACGCACTCTACCAGCAAGGCCTTCTGCATGAGGCGAGCTTTGTAGAGGTTGCTAATTTTTGATCTTGCATGCTGAGGGCTTTTAAAGATGCTTTTAGTTCAGCTTTGGACTGATGTTGTTATGAAATACTACGCAGCGAAGACAGAGCTACTTGGTGGCTTAGCAAATGGCTCGACCCTGCACGTCCTCTTTGTCAGGTACTGCAGGCTGGGGGTTGCGTTTACGACCGGCGTCGAATAGAATCAATCTTTTTTTTTTTTTTTTTTCAAGTTAATGGCAGTCCCGGTAGCTGAATTGGACTCGTGGCACTTTTGGTCTTTGTTTTGATGAGGTGCTCCGATGGGGAAGCGTTCTGCTTTGATTTCAAAGGTCATCTGTAGCAACTGCTGTTTGTTTAACACTCCGGTCTGGTTCAAGCAACCCCGTCTACGCGAAGCAAAGCAAACAATTGTCAAAAAAAATCATCGTGGCTCCAGGGAAATGGAAGCAAACATACCTGACAGTACTCGGGGGGAGGGGGGGAATCTCTGTTTCTCGGTAGCACTCGACTCTCTGCCTTTTGTTTCTGTTTTGACTCCTCGTTGCACTTTGTTTTGTGGTGGGAGATGTAGCAGGAGAAAGCTCAGGCCCGTAGCCTTTTGACTGCGGGCGTCTTCAATGGGCCTGTTCAGTTCCCTGACTGGTGTGTGTTGTGGTTGCGTTTCCTGGCAAGGAACGGGCTGGTGCGGCCCCCTTTTCCCCACATTTTCTGGACTGTTGCTTGGTGGGGCATTGTGAAGTCGTCTATTCTGCAGCAGTGGGAAAAATCGGGCCCAGTGTTGCCAGGCCGAAGCACACTTGGACTAAGGAACCAACGTGGTTTTCATTATTCTTATCTGCTCTTCATCAGACCGGCCAGACTGGATCAGGCCCAAGGCCCATCTTGTCCTGTCTTCCAGCGGTGTCGGACGCCAGGTGTCCAGAGGGAATGAACAAATCAGGCAATCATCAAATGATCCATCACCTGTTTCCCTGGTCGTAGCTTCTGACAAACAGAGGCTGGGACACCATTCCTATCCCTTCACGCCATTGGTGGACTTAATCTCCATGAACTTATCAAGCTCTTTTTTGAACCCTGTTAAAGACCTGGCCTTCACCGCATCCTCCAGCAAGGAGTTCCACAGGTTGTGCATAGTTTGAAGAAATACTTTCTTGTGTTTATTTAAAACCTGCTGCTTATTAATTTAATTGGGTGACCCCCTTCTCCCTGTGTTACAAGACAGTCGGATGTGCTGCTGGCAGCCTGTAGACATTAAAACTGATGTTTAACCTTGTGATTATGGTAGGGATGGGCGCTAGCCCATTTCCTGCATTCACCCTCCTATAGGAATTTACTGTAGGCAGTAGGTAACATCACAAGCTGCGGCAGTGCGGTCGCAGCGATTCAGAGAGCAGGCTCACATGCAGACACGGAGAGCGGTAATGGCTGCAGTATGCCCCCCAGCCGTTCCTGGCAGTCCAGCTAGCGAGGACGGGAAGTTAGTTCAAACTGCACTCGAAATAATCAGTAACTTGGCCAGCACAGTATTTAAGGCAGGGGTGGGGAACCCTTTTTGAGTCGGGGGGATGCTGCCCTACAGAAAAATCAGTTGAGGGCTGCACCCAGGTGAGTGGCAAAAAAGAAAAACCAACCCCTCACAGCTATGACCCCCCGCCTGAGAATGAGACAGATTCTCCCCACATCCCCCTTGCACATCAGAGCTTTGGGGGGGGGGCTCTAGATTGTGTGCTGCAGCCCCATGGTGGGTCAGCAGGGGCGCTGGAGTGTCAGTGTGGGCTCCCCAGTGCTGGGGGGGCTGGATCAGGGAAATCTGGGAGACGCATCCAGCCGCTAGGCCTTTAGCTTCCCTTCTCTCTCCCCCCCCCCCCCCCCCCCCCGCCAATTTAGGTCGTGGAATAGAGACAAAGGGCGTGAGACTGGTGTAAAATGAAAACCGGAGTCCAGGCCTAGATCAGCCGTTTAATACATTAGCCCCAAAGATGCCCTCAAATCGTTGCCCAGCCGGGAAGGGACGCGGCCGAGAGCAGCCAGCTGTCCGTGCTGCCTGCAGCGTGGCATGCGCTCCACCTTCCCCTCCGAGCTGCACGCAGCGCTCTGGCCTTTGCCCCAGCACTGGGAGCCATGGGCCTCTTTGAATGGCCAGCCCCCAGGACAACTGCCCCCCCCATATCGGGGGCCCTGCTGCCCGAAAGCGTGCCCCATTGATGTAGTGCTGGCCAGCGAGGTGCAAGCGAGCCTCTGGCTTGGGGGGGTTTCAGTGCGATTGCCTGGGCCAGGTGAGGCAGGGGCGGGGGGCGG